CTTTTTGGGAAAGTGGCGCCGCCTGCTGGCCAAGTAGTGCAATTAGCCGAAAGTAAAAGTGGGCTGCACTGCGGGAAATCGGGGGCTACACTCATAAAAAAAAAATCGAAGAATTTCCTTAAAATCTAGAAAATTCTTTCTTGAATTTTTGCCAAAGGCGACCTCACCTTTGTTTCAAGAAATGGTTTTTTTGAAAGGCACCATTAAAACAAGAAAAAATATTTCTTGTTTGAAGAAATTAAATTTCTTAAAACAAGAAAGGGTTTTTTAGGAAGCCACCATAAAAACAAGAAAAAATATTTCTTAAAACAAGAAAGGCGATTCTTGTTTCAAAGGTGGTTTGTTTCTTGTTTCAAGAAATTAAATTTCTTAAAACAAGAAAGGGTTTTTTAGAAAGGCACCTTTTAAACAAGAAAAATTCTTTCTTGTTTAAATTTCCTTTCAAGAAATTTTATTTCTTGATTTAAGAAATAATATTTCTTGAAAGGAAGTTTTATATTAACACTGAAACCCTAAAAATAAAATGTAACTTAGTTTTTTCTTTTGCATATTATATTTATTTACATTTAAAACATTTAACACTTAACATTTAAACATTTTTAAATAACACATTTTTGACACAAGAAAACATTATTATTACCCAAGGTCTGTTGAACTTCATATGACCTAAGGTGATCCATTTTCTTCGCCTTTCCTCATCTATAAAAAAAGAGTTATTGGGATATCAATGATTTGTTTTTAGATAAACAACTTTTTTGAAATAATGTAATGTTAATAATAGCCAAAATACAAACACGTTGGACAGACGACCGAGAGAGAGGAGCAAGACAGGTAGAAAATGAAGGGTTGAAAATCGAATTTCAGAGAGAGAGAGGCACGGGAGAGACACGTACATACATACATATATATTTACATACAGTCCTTTGCGCGAAGGGAGACCGAATGTAAGCAGGGCAGATCGTGTCAGTTTTTAGAAGGAGAAGAGAGAAACGTCGCGACGCGTAGGTCAAGCGAGCGAGAGAGAGGAGCAGAATATGAAAGGGTTGAAAATCGGGTTTCAGATCGGGTGAGCCGCGTACATGCATAGATATTTACATGCATACATAAGTATGTCAAACAAATACAACATATTTTTCTTACCTTAGAAGGTTTTAAAACAAAATTACAGCTTCGACAAACAAATTATTTGGCTGATGCAACTGCAGGTATTTTCACTCTGAAAAATAAATAAAATGCGAGTAATAAGATAAAGTTATTATAGAACTGTACAGTGTACACCCAGAAATTTATGTACAAATGTATGTATGTACGTAGCTCTTAGCTAAAAAACAATTCAACTTAATTGATATAAGCTTGGTAAAGAGATTTTGAATTTATCCTTTTATTACATACTTACAATTGTACGCGCGCTATACAAAAAATTATATATTTACATACCTTTGAATATTCGGAAAAAGGCTTCACCTCTTATCCGCTTGAAAATCACGTCCATCACTCACGAATTTTTTTCACAACTGACGCTCGGGGGATCAGAGAAGTCGGTAGCCGGGTAGGCCCTTCGTCCCACTTCGTTTTTCTTGTCGTTAACATTCGGCAGCCGAAGGAAGTCAATGGCTACTTTCCTATATTCTAGGGTCATTTCATTCTTATATTCAAAGGTGATTTTGTCTTTAAATACGTACAAAAATGTTTTGGCTGCGACGGCAAAACAAACATATGAGATTTTCATTTTTCTATTTTTAAGAAAAATTCTTTCTTGAATTTTTTCCATCAAGAAAGGTTTTCTGTATTCAAAGGACAATTTTCTAATAACAAGAAATTTATTTTCTATTTTCAAAGGTAGGCCGATTCAATGGCGAGATTTCCAAAATTTAGAAATTAATTTTTATGAGTGTAACTATGCCATATATAGCATATACCTATTGTCTGAAAACGGTAGCGAGTGGAAAGGTTTTCCCCAAGCCCATTTGAATGGTAGATACATATGTATACATATGTGGAGATGCAATGTTTTCGGATCGCTTTGGCTCGGTTTCGTTATACGTATGCATATAACGATATATCTTTCCACATTTGAGGCTCGCGTGCAATCATCAATAACCAGATTTCAATGCCAAGACCTCTTGCAGCCCCCCGAATGTCATTAACATTAGTCGAAATGAAAGTTTTCCCAGCGGACAAATAGTCAGCCTTGAGAACTTTTGCACCCGAAAGAATATTCAAGTTAAGAGGAATAAGTCATTTATATTTAAAACTAAGTATGGGTACCAAAAGTCAAAATAAAAATATTGAAAAACATTTTTTATTTTTTTTGAAATTTTTCAGTGTAATATTTTAAATTTATTAACTATTAAAATCTTTATAAATATGTTTATACCAACTTTATGTTATTATATTTCGTTTCTTTTGTTTGTTTTGACTTAAGTACACATGAAAATTTAATTTTTCCATCAAAACCGTACAAACATGTAATTTTTGATAAATTTATGAGCAATTACGTGCTTTTCTCCAGATTCAGGCGATATTCTTGATATCAGAACACGTTCGAAAAGGGTCCCAATGTAGAACGCAGTAAGAAATGGGGAATTCTGAATGGGGAAAGGGCGGAGGGCAGGGTGTTTTTGGGGGCTGGGTCTCCGAGTGACGTCAAAGTCTTTTGTTTGCCACCTTTTTACGTGATATATACGTGATTTATTCGCGAATAGAACACAGGCATTTGCATAATGAGGAAGAGTTGGCTGGAAAGAGGAGGGGATGGTAGCCCAAACCACAATTATGCAATTTCCTGCCTGGCTCTAAGCACTTAATTATGGTTATTAAAAATTTGGCAAATAGTTTCTTCGCTTTTGTGAGCGCCCAATCATTTGCACATAGTTAGCTTGAAGCCAGACGCATGTGAAACATCGGAATTGGCCATATCATTATGGTTAAAATACATATACATATAGATGTGGTGGCTCGGATGTGGCGTGCCAACTTTTAGCCAGATTTGCAAATCCGAAACGAGTTGAACGAACGATGGTAGCAATGTGTTTTGACCATCATCATTCGAGAAATGACAAACTGAAAAATTGAAGATGAAGAAAAAACGGGAAAAACTCAAGGGAGTGAGGAAAAGATTAAGAGCTCTTTAATGTCTTCATTTGTTTAATTAACTAATAATTTAATAGTTAAAAAAATCAATAAAACTACCAACAAACAAAAATAATAAATATTACCATATCGGTCAGTTATTGTTTATTCAATTGCGGCTTCAATTAGCACTTATCGTATTATTCACTTATCAAACTAGACCAACGAATGAATTATTAAAGCCAAGATATCAGGAAAAATGGGGTTAATTCCAGGTGGACTTCCCTTTTGTGGTGGCAGCCCTTTGGGTAAACAGTTTTAGTGTAGTTAAACCGAATCAATTCTATTGAATACTCGGCCATTTCAACCGGGCCTTATCAACCGCCGGGAATCGGTGTCAGCTAATCGCACCCACAACGAACTGGTGACCCCAATAGAGGAGCTCCACCAACCGGCCAAAAAGCACTTGGACATGCCCACCACGTCGTATGGAAATGGAAAACGAAACAGAAATAGAAACAGAAAACAGAAGACAAACCTAGAAGCCGAAACCAAAACAGAATAAGAAGCGCCAGTAGCCCAAACATGGTCAACAAAATTGGTTTGTCACTTTCTCAGCCAGATGGGTGTGCCCTTCAAAAAAATACTCCACAGTTTCGGTCAGCACGATAGTTGAGAAGTTAAAAAAAAAAACAAAAAAATACAAATACAATTTATAAATATGAGCATGGAAATTATCGATATTTTCGATAATTTGACAATATCGATTTGATTATATGGATGTTTTGAATGGAAACATAAAATAAAGAAAACAAAACAAATAAACTACATAAAATTTAAAAAACAAAAACAAAATTTATCCTTAACCAAAAAAGTGCATAAAATTTGTAAGCAAAAAAAATACAATTTTAATACAAAATATACTATTACTATAAAATATATGAAAGATAATTACATCATGTAATACTTATATTTAATAATCTTTTTCCCCCCGCCGTTGCAACCACGTAATTTCGCGCGGTTCTGAACCTGAACCCAACCCAGAGCATTTTCTTATCGCAATTAATTGCCTCGCATTGCATAATAAGCATCGCCAGATCTTAAAGTAATAGAAAAGCATATTCTCTTGACTGAGTCAGCCCAGTGGGTTATAAAGTATAATTGTAATTAGCCAAAGCCAAGGCGAAGCCCAAAAGCCAAAAACTAAAAAACGAGAGTCGGAGGCTAAAATTACACTACACAGAAAAAAAATTGACAAAAAAGTCAAATTGATATGTGCTGTCAATTTAATATTTTTTAAAGATCAAGTTATCAAATAATTTTAAAATGAATAAATATTATTTTACATTATTTGTTAAAAAAATACTAAATTTGGTATTTTATATGATATCATAAAATATCATGTTGATATGCTTGAATCATAAATTTGACAAAAATCATATCAGCTTTTTATTGATGTGAAATAAGGTAGAATTGACCCTATCATATCGAATTTTTTGTTCTGTGTACATTTTTTCAAGCACCACCCGGTTTCAAGGGTTAAGAGGCCCGATATCTGGCAGAGATCGGTGGGTTTAGCCAGCCGAATCCGCAGTGGAGCGCAACTGAGTGTGTCCAAGTCAGCGGGGCAATCAAATCAGACCCAAAATCTCCGAGATCCAAGGAGCCTAGATATTGTCCTCGAACTCATTTACTCATTACCACAAAATAGGCCTAGCTATTGACATCATTTCATTTGAAAGATCCGAAATAATATATTCCAAATCGTTGTAAAATTTCTACATAATTTGAATACACATTTCCTTATATTTTCTAATGAAACCGTTTCGGTGAAGTAATATTAGTACGCCTCGGTTTCTATACAATTAAAAGACCTTTCCAAATTCATAAGCCTTGTGTTAATCATTTTATTTTGTTTTCTTTTGCAGTTGCACCTGAAACTAGGAGGAAGAAAATAGGAAAAACAGGGAAAATTGAATCCACTGTGAGGAAATCAAAGTAGTAGGAAGAACAGCGACAACAACAACCACAACTGTGAGTATACCACGGGGAAATGAAAACAAACAATCTGAAAATCATATGCAGAGAGTCGCAGATGGGAATGGGAATGAGATTTCAGATTTTTGTGACCATATCCGGTTTGCCAGTCGCCAGTTGCATTTGCAATTGCATTTGCAGCTTCCATCAAAAAACAATAGGGGAAAAACAGAAAGACGAAAAGCGGAGCGAACTGAAAACGCAACTTGGTTTTTTAGGGCTCATGGAAATCGCATCTTGGCATTCGCCATTGTTGCTTTTTGGTTTTTTGCATTTTGGGGAAGATATCTGGGGGGAAATTGCGTAAAACGATGATATATTCACAATAGATCGGGGCGATATGATCGGTCGACTTATGATGGGGAAACCAAAGCGTTTAAAAGTTATGAAATTTAGAACTTAGACCTTAGAAAATTATTTCGATTTAGAAAAAACCATAGTCTTTAAAAAATAAGTTTTAAGAATATTATAATTTTACAATTTTCACTAAACCATAAATTCTGTAAAAAAAACGTTTTATAAATATAACTTTACTTAAATTAACCTAATTATAAATTTAATATTTTGTTCTATGTACTTTTCGAAATTCAGTTAATTAAAAAAGAAATCATATTTATAATATAAATAATAGCAATTTAAATAAATATAAATAGGATATTAATAGTTAATGAATGTAATTGAGTTAAGTGACTAGTGAATTAATTTATAAGAATAAAAGTCACAAAAAGTGAAATAAATATTTTAATGTCAATAGGGTTTCCACATTTGGCAATCCTATCGAAAAAACTAAAATCCCAAGTAGGCTTTGCCTTTGGCCAAGTCAAATGTCATTTGGTTTTGCCTAAACTCAATTCATTTTGGTATACCTTCTCAGCAGGATTACACACAAAATAACGTTAGAAAATAAAATTCCAACCGAGATGCCACATAAGAAATTTCCTAGAATGTCGCAGGCTCAACTAAAACTTTTGATCAAAAAGCAAACGAATCAGAATTTGGAGAAGCCCATGACAATACTAGAGCCGCCGAGGTTTATACAGCAGCCGCCGATGAGGGAGTTTGTCCAGCCGACGAAGGCGAATGGGAATTCGAATGGGAATGGCAATGCGATTGCGAATGCCGTTTCCCCCAAGAAGCTGGCCAAGATCGAGGTTCCTCCAAGAACCACTGGAACAGCTGCTGAAAAAGGTAGTGACAAGATCGACGAGATGGTGATGAAAGAAGAGAAGAAGCAGTCGCCGCAGAAGGAGTATCAAAAGGAGATGGTGGAAGATCAAAAGGAGAAGAAGCAGGATCAAAAGGAAATGGAAAAGTATCAAAAGGAGATGGAAAAGTATGAAAAGGAGTTGCAGGAGGATCAAAAGCAGATCCCAGATGACTTCAAGCCGATGCAAGCGATTTCAAATCCAAAGGATGAGGCCGTCGAGCAGGTGAACCATGAGTACCAGGATTTGCCCGGATGCAGCAGCAGCTCATCCTCCTGCAAATGCGATTCGAATGAAGAAGTGGAGATGCCCCTGCCCCTGGACAATTTCCCCAGCCTCGAATCGCTGCAGAGCAGTGCCTGGAAGTTCTTTTCCTATCCCGATTTCCATCCAATGGAGGATGTAACACCGCATTACATGGGCAATAATCAAGAGCCTTTAACCGAAACCCTGGATGTTATGCCCCTGCCATCCTACGAAGCTCCACCCTTGGATTTGAGCAACTTGAGCCTGGCCTTTGATAACTTCTCGCTGGCGGATCTCTCGCCGGAGCAGGAGATGATGCAGGCGGAGCCCCACCGACCGCCCGGATGCAGTATCTTTGGTGCCCATATCTCGGCCACTGATAAACTGACCGAGGGCCAGAAGATTCTACTGCAGGCGGCCGTCACCCAGCCGGATATTCCACTGGAGGATGCCCTTATGGCCATCGTACTGGATCTTCGCCACGAGCGACTGAGTCAGGAGGCAGCGGCGGCGGCGGCGGCAGCAGCATCGGCGACGACTTATTCTTCATATCCCACCAATGATGCCCAGGGATTTCCGAATATGCATGATTACTCGCAGGATAGTTACTTCAGTTCAGGGTATCCAGGATCCCAGGATCAATCCCAGAACCAATCGCAGTACCATCAGAATCAGCCGGACAATAGTTACTATAGTAACTACCAGAATCAACCGGAAAGTAGTTACAACTTTCAGGCGGAAAACGCTTACCCATTCCAGGGATGGGATTTCCCGGAATTTCCCGGCTATGATCTTAATCTCCCAACCAATCCTCAATCCCAATCCCAATCCCCGGAGATGATGATGGAGAACTCGATGGCCCAGCAGGCAGAGCAGCCCATGCCTCCGCTTGCCTATCCAATGCAGCAGCAGCAGCAGTCGGATTTTCTACCGAATTTGAATCAGCCGCAGGTGGATAATGATGATATTATACCGGACTTTATTAGGGACTTCTGGCCGGAACTCCTGATGTCGCCGGACTTAAACACCACCACCAGCGGCGCCTCCAGTATGCTGTGAATAGCCGGCGGGAAAATGGGAATACTGTAGCATATATTATACATATATATTTATCATTTTTCAACCGTCTGTCAGCAAGGGAAAATTGATATAAGTCACCAAGTTCAAGGGTTTTGTATACCGTATATGTAAAAACAGAACTTGAATACTGCAGTATATTTCATTTTTACATCTATGTAATAATAAATATCTAACACATAATTATTATATTAAGTTATTTATTTAATTAGTTACATGCAGGCTTGAAAATCAATTTAATTTTGATTCGTTTAAATATAGAGTCTATGGTTTAGTGGAATATAAAAGGAAATCGAAAATATTTTAAGTTGTATTGTAGTCCTAACTGATTTAATTTTCTACAAGAAGGTTTTATCAATTGAGTTTTACGCATTTTAAAATTATTTTTTTTAGTGATGAATTATCTTTAAATTAATATCAAATAAAAACACCTCTTAACGAGGTAAAAAACTAGTGACGATCGCACCTTCAACATACAAAAGTTCTGATATCAACATTTGTGACGAAAAATTATTACACTCGTCATTAAATAGACTTTCTAATATTTTCTCATTCGGCCCGCCCTAGCAAACTATTCCAGCCTTTTTCCCTTTACAGGCATTTTCTATTGCAGCGTGCCGAATGAGAAAATATTAAAAAGTCTATTTAATGACGAGTGTAATAATTTTTCGTCACAAATGTTGATATCAGAACTTTTGTATGTTGAAGGTGCGATCGTCACTAGTTTTTTACCTCGTTAAGAGGTGTTTTTATTTGATATCAGAAGTTTTTGTTTGTTTACATTTGCTCTCATAGGAGCTAATATATACATTTAAATTTAAATTGGTCAATCATAATTTGTAAGCCATTGTATTTAAACGAATTAAGTCAAAAAGGCGATGAAGTATATCAAAATACCTTTTAAACGAGTTTTAGCACATGTCTGTACCTTCAGTAGTGTTGAACTTACAAACTAACGAAATTTAGCTATTTTTAGTTTTTTTCCCGCTAAAGTAGCGGCTTTTTCCAAAAGTCGTAGAACAAAAGATTCCTTTATGGAACTCTTAAGTGCAAATTTACTGATTCCATGACCCCAAAATACAGTTCGTATACCCTCACACAAAATTCAATACTCAGGGAGCGTTAGTTGTTCGAGCTGGCAAAAGTGGCTATTTTCGTATAAAAATAACTTTTAAACGTGACTTTTTACAGTAATGTGTTATATACCAAAATTTAAGGAATCTCAAGGGCTATACAGTTTAAAGTTGTAAAGAAAATCGTTAGAGCCGTTTTTGAGAAAATAGCTAAAAAGTGATTTAGAAAAACAACTTTTAGCCATACATTTTAAACTATTGCATTAAGCCAATTTTACCCAAGGCAACGCGATTAGCATTTTAAATTACCTTTTTAACGAGGTGTAGCACGAGTCTGTAGCTTTGGTCGTTTAGAAACTATAAGCCGTCAAAATCTAGCTTTTTTCAATGATTTCCCGCCAAACTAGCGGGTTTTTCCAAAAGTTGTAGAACAAACGTTGTTCATATCCTGCTGCTAAGCACAGTAAAATTTAGTTCAGGATCCTAAAACCACGATTTGATGCATACCCACAAACAAAGGGACAAATTATTTCATTTTGGGAAGAAGAAGAAAATCTTATTTTGGCTATAACTTTTGAACGGAGCGTCGGATTTTATCATATGACCCCTCATCCGACGGGAATTTTTAATAGAAAAACTACTAAAACATTGCGAGGGGGCATTTATCCCCAACGGCCCCATCAGATCCAAATTTCTAAATTTTCACTTTTACACTTTCACCGCTCTCTTTCCCAAACCAATTGATTTTCTTGAGGTCTTGGTATGCAATCCTTTAAGTTTTTGCAATACCTTTCGATTGGTGTATTACTCATTACGATCGGACTATCACAGCAGATTTTCAATTTTGCGGCTATATAATAGTAGTCGCCTTCGCACACTCTCCTGGTGCGCTTCGTCACTACATGGACTGCCGTCCATAGTGATATATAGGAAAGCCATAAAATTTCACTTTTTATCCAACTCAAAACGAAGAAGAAAGTATGCGAAAAAAAGCAGAGGGAGAAAAAGACGAGCAGTTTACCAACAATTGGAATGGAGGAAAAAATCAACTTGTCAGCGTCAATTGTTTGGCAGACGGTTTCGTTTTCTAATATTACCAAACCAATGCGAACAAAAGGATTTTTTCTTTTGACGGAAATCAAATTAGATGAGTTGCCCCACAGAGTATTTCCAGAAATTACAATTTCATTTGTCATCCTAAGGAATTACTACCATTTTGTTTAGAACTTTTTTTTTCATTATTTGCTTGAGTTATCTAATCAACTCTATTTGACAATGTCTGTCAAATTGCATATCGATTAATAAATCGTATGAATTATGCAATTATCGACTGGCATCATCGTTTAACGTTTTAATTCAAAGAAAGCCAGTTGGTCATTGAACGTGGGTCCAATGAATCGAATTCAAATTATTAATACCAACAGATAATTCATCAATTTTCCGATTAATCAATCATTTGTAGTTAGCATTCCACAGTTATGGTAAAATGTGTGATATAAACATTTTAATAAATTCAGAAATTACATTTACTCGTTGGCAATTGTTTTGCAGTTGTGACACGCACGTCACTCGGTGGTGACCCCGATCTGGAGGAATTTTTTTTTTGTATTTTTCGTATGCTGGGCGCATGAAAATGAAATTTCACTTTGTTCTGCGAAGTGAGGGAGCCCTCACTTTCGATTTGCATAGCTAAAAGTAAGTTATTTGTTAGATAAGTGGGTTGTCTGGGTAAACTGGGAAAGACTGGAAGACAAAGAAAGCCCTCAGCCTCGGTAAAAAAAAAACGGTAGAAGAATTAAATGAGTTTCGACTGTGCCAAAAGTAACTTGCCGTTGTGGCGGCATTTTGCTAATTTCAATAAACATATTTATTTATCCACAATGAGAAGGCACTCAAACGAAAATGGATGAGATCACCTGTAACTTAAACTATTCGAAAAAGCTCTCACAATAAATTCAATTCAGATATCGGCGGATTAATTTTTCATTAATAAAAATTAGAATTTAGAATCGAGGTGCATTTTGGTTTATAACAATCAAGTCACTGGAATAATAATCGTTGTTTTTGACTTTTGCGTGCCGCGAATAGAAAGTGAGCGTGAACTTTCCCACCCACTTTTCCACTGACGCCTATCGTCCACCACCCACCGCCCCTTTGAGCCCCGCCCCCTTGCATATAATTATTGCACTTTGCCTTTTCAATTTCGCCTTTGTCGCCTGCACTTGAAGGTTGCCTTGTTTTTATTTTCTTTAATTTCTGTTGTGTTCTCCCTCTTTGAGGTTTTTTTTTTAAACGGGTATTTTGCTTTTCTTGTGAGCTTTGTCAAGAATTAACGAAATAGTAATGCAGATAAATAAAAAATAAAGCGGCCTTAATTATATTTTAGTTTTTTAATATTTTTTAAATTCTAAAGAAATTCTCATTCATTTTCCATAATTCTAAAATATGACTGATGTGCCCAACCCAACCGATTATAATTTAATTGTCTGAGAAATGATATCAAACTGGTTCTATTATAATGATCGGTTATTTATTTGCGTCTATTCAGGGCACTAGTCAGTCCAGTTAGGCCATAATAAATATGAGAATATAAAAAGCGGTTGAATATCTTGATAAGAAATCTATATAAAAATGTATAAGTAAATTCCAATTTACCTCTCAAGAAAAAAAGAAGGGTATCTGATGAAACTTCAGGGCGAGTACTTATTTCCCTGGGTGTTTTCTTTGTGGCAGGGCTTAATTGCAATGTGGAGGCACTTGCTCCAGTTTTGCGGGCATATGAAAGTGCATTTGGTTTTTCTCCTCCGTTTTCTTTGCCTTTGTGGTATTATGAAATGGTCTGCCCACCGAAGCCCAGGGCCTTGAGTCCAATTCGAAAATGCTCGCCATACGGCTGGGTTCCTAAAACTAGTTATATCATTATAATACAATTAAAAACTTGAAATTATTATTAAATAAAAATAAAAAAAATATACATTTCTTTAAAAAGAAATTAAAAATCTTAATTTTGTATTTTTTTATTTGTTCCAACTAATTAACAACTTTTGAACTGTTTTTAATCAAAAATAGTCCAAAAAAATGTATAAATTATTTTTTTTAGATTTTTTTTTTAACTAATGTTTACAACTATTTTTCTGAACCGACCTGTAGAAGAGGTGCATCTGCTGCTGGGCAAATTGTTTAACGATGCTGATGAGATTTGCATACCACACCATACCATTCCCCACCATTCTTCCCCGGGGGCCTGAATTTAAAGCCCAGTCTGGTATGGATGTCATTCGTTATGGTTCGCAGAACTTCTCCATTTGCCTGCCTTTGTTTACAATAAATCCGGCGGGCTTTAAACAATTGCTGTTTTGTTTTATGGCCCCTCGTTGAATTACCGTGGAGCATAAAAAAGCATAAAATGGTTTTTGTGACCTTTAGCGCCTGATGCCGTCATATGTCAGCTCAGCTCAGCTACTTATGTATCAACTATGTTGTGTGCCAAGTGGCGTATGCGTAATATTACAGATTACAGGTGAACCATCATCAGTAATTTCTAGATATATTTCCAACCTATCTTATCGGCCGAAGAACACAACTCAAACAAGGCCATTAACCCAAATAAATGGGGGTAAAATAAAATACGTTTAACAAATTCGCGGTTCTCGTGTTTTTAGCACAAGCAAATTAGGCCGGGCTTCAAATTGTGGTTTTTGGCTCTTGGAATTGCCAAACGTTTGTGTATACCACAAAAACAGCAACAACAACAAGAAACCCAGCAGCTACAACTAAATTTGTATTTTCACAGCCGCCCAAAATTGGAATGCTAATTTTTTTCGTTGTCAAAAATACCTGGTAGTTATGGGATATATTAGACATTGAGAAAAGGAGAAAATTTAGTAAAATATTGTTGAGTTTGTGGGATATTTAAAAAGTGTAAAAAACATATTTTAGTTTGTAATATTTATAAAACACAGAAAAAAAAAATTTATAAAAATACTTTTTTAAAATACTACATTTTGTATTGTTTGAACAAATAATGTAAAATAAGATAAACTTAATCTTTATTTATATAAAAATGATATCAATAACATACCAATCTGATATTTTGTGTATAAAAGCAACTCTTGCGTTTATTTAATTTACTTATTAAAATTTTAGTTGCTTTATATTTTGGTTTTACTAAGCAATTATTTGCTTAGTGGGTATCTTAGCGTCGACCCCAATCGATAGTTATTTTCCGGCTTTATTTGTATTGCCAGTTGGCCAGAACAAAGCGGCAAAACAATTAAGAGCAAGCACGAGAGGGCCGAGAAGTGGTATGCTGGCCCATACAGTCAGAGCCATTTAAGACAGTTACATCTTTCTTGTTTTTTTGCGTGGGCAGAAACTCGAAATGAAATTAACAAACAAGCAAGAAAAAAAAAGGGATGGGCTGGCTGAAAATAATCATTCGAAGATGCGACTGAAGAGGCCTTTTGCTTATGACACACATGTCGTCGACCTTCGGTGGGTGGGTGCACAGAAAAAAAAAAATATTAAAAAAGTATATTCAAGAGAGCTTGAAATATTACATGTGCCTTGGTGCTCGGATATATTAAAAACCATATTAATATTTAATAACCATTTATAGAGTTGTGAAGAGCCTCTTAAAATCATAAGCGCCCAGTCTCAAGGGATCTTGGGCTTTGTTTTTCTCTGTGTAGGCTGTAGGATGAGTGTGGGGCACCCAGAAATGCCCCAAAATGGCAATTCCTCCGGGGACTGGGACAGGCGACTAAACCCGTTTCTCAGAATATAAAACGTATTTCGAAAAAGCGATTTCGATGACTTCATCATCGAGAGCTCCACACTCCTCACACACTTTTAATGCCAATTGTTTCCCCCACTGACTCATCCCCTTAATCTCTTCCAGCGTTTGGTGGCAGTCATCGCAAGATCACAGAACGGGACGCATCATGACTTTCTACTGGTGGTCACACTGGTTCTGGATAACCCTCATCCTGAGCGGTAAGTGTGACCATGCATTGTTTTGAAAATCTAAAATTAAATATTTACAACTATTTGGAAACTAACTATCTTAATATTTTAATTACATAATATTTAATTAAATTTAAATTTCCCCCCAGTTAACTTGCTGTCCAGCCATGTTCACACATATCCCAGCCAGGAGGCGGAGTCGCTGGCCTCCAGTCCACATCCGCATCCGCAGCCGGTGCGAACCACCAAGCTTTACCAGACGACGGTGACCCAGACGTGGGGCACCGCCACCCAGAGCAACATCATGGACCTGACCCACCGACCCACCACCAGTCGACCTGTGGTGACCCCCAGCTATACTGGTGGTGACCCCGAAGAACTGGCGCAGATCGATGGTGATGATGCTGAGCAGGAGGAGCAGATACCCCTCAACGATCGGGATCAGGAGCTGGATGAGAATGAGAATGAGGATCCCGATCAGGATGATACCGATCTTGATCCAGATGCGGATGCCGATGCGGATGCGGATACCGAGGAGGCTGCCGTAAACGAGGAGCTGGCTCAGTTCGAGTTCAAGCGATCGGCTGACTTTACCGCCGAACAGCTCAATAACTTTACGAATTTCAGCAGTAGCACAAGGTGAGTTCTTTTTCTTCTTTCTTTCCAAGATTTAATTAATTATTTTCTTGGTAAATCAGTACAAATGGCAGCAGTAGCACTAGCACAACAAAACCCCTTGCAATCAGCAGCAGTAGTCCGGCCACAACGAGGAGCACCACCTCCACCAGCAGCAGCAGCACCACCACAACATCGACGACGCCAAGAACGGGAGGCAGTGCATCCACCACATCCACATCCACGGTAGCTGGTTCCCCGGCTACTCCATCGACGCCCAAAATCAACACGGAGTGGCTATCCGATGAGCTAGTGGCAGGGGTCACGGCCGAGGGCGAAAAGGCACCGTTCACTTTGGAGAATGCCAACAAGGAGGATGAACTTAGGCGGGCCGAGAGCGAGCATAGATCCCGCAAATCCAAGGTCCTTTCCGCGGAATACAAGCACATCAATCGCTATATTAACTTCTCCAGCGATACCAAGAGCCTGCTGACCAGGTCCGCCTCCGCGGCGCCCAGCGTGGCGGGGGGCGTGGCCGGAGCCGGGTTCTACGATGGAAGCATCGGTGATGAGGGCAACATCTCATCCGAGGCCCTGGCCATTCAGGTAAAGTAACTGCTTTCCTTATGGAATAATCATTTGGAATTTGAAGAATCTGTTAAGCTTTTCTTTACTACGAAATTCTAATTATTTCCCAAGTTATGGGCTAGTTAATCTTTACAGAATTAAATTGTAAAAATCACACAACTGCTTTTACTTATACTAAAAAAAATCTAGAAAAAAACCGAAATTCGGATTGCCTACTATCCAAAATGGATATTTTTTATTAAATTATTTATATTATATATTATTATATTAAATTTCAAAAGTAACTTAAAACGTATTTCTTAAGGAATAATCATTTGGAATATATAAAATGAAATATAAAAATTTCAAAATAAAAATAAATTTTAAAATAAAAAATAATTTAATTTCTTTCCTTCCTTTAGCGAACATATTTCCTGGATGCCGGCGCCATTTCGGCGATTTGCTTCACTGTCTTTGGGGTCTGCTGCACAGTGGGCACCATCGGCATCGTCCTGTACCGCCGCCGGTATCTGAATAAGCCGCAGGCTCTCAGCGAACCGGACTCGAGTGTCTACATCGATGATAGCACCATGCGGGTGAGTGTAAGGATTCGTTGACCCAATGCCATTGGCATCCGAATTTCCTATGCACTGAATAGTTCTCCCTGTTGATTTTGCAGGACAACTCGGATGAGATGTACAGCCTGGACAACGACTCGTTTCTCAATTCGCTGGAGGCGATGACAATACAAAACTACTGGACGGATACGGTCAAACATACAAAGCTTTAATTTCCGGCCCCTTCCGTTGGCCCCTCCTCATTTTCATTTTCGTTTTTAGTTCAGTTTTCGTTTCCATTTTGATTTTTAATTTCAATTCATCATTTTAATGGAATTTCATTCCTGATTTCAAAAACAGACATCATAATCATTAAGTAGCGTAGTGTTTAAGAAGCGTGTGTATGTATTTACTAATGTTAGGCAACCAAACGAGCAACTAGTTTAAGCCCAAACTACCAAAATTATGTTTAGTGTACGTGTAGATCCTAAGTGCGCAATGTTTTTTGTTGGTCTTGGCTGTTAATTTAAGGCTTCTTAACTTAACTTAACAACCTCCCCCCAATTTCCCAGCTCTCTTAATATAAACCCAATTGTACTCGTATCTGTTAGTTAATTATTAAACCTTATTTATATTGTTGACTATTTTATCGACCCCACCCCCGCCCCTTCTAAGCCTTATTTTAATAAAACCACCTATTTATTAAGTTTCCAACTTTATGTCCAACAATTAAACGCAATCATTCCTTCCAGTTTTAGCCTATAGAGCAACTTTACACTGTAATTACTGTATTAAAAGCGAAGCAAGCAAACAACAATTAAAAGAAAACATCACACATACACAACGGTGTTGCTAGAATTTTAGAGAGAAATAGCAGTTTCAAGGGGACGAAATCGTTGTTAAATAAAAATAGTTCTGATGGGAAAACAGAATTGGCCTAACAAACAAGTAATTAAAAACGACTTATTATCGCTGAAATTCTGGCAACACTGCATTCAATTGTTTCAATATTAACATATATATATGGGCACTTCCAAAAAAAAGTCCACCAAGCCGAAAACCTTGAAACTTGAATAAAACATATTTCCACATGATTTTGCCCCGATATTAGTTTCTAATTAGTTGGATACTGAGCTTAACTACAAATTTGGAGTATAGTTTGATTATTTTTATGACAAACCCCACCAATATACGCAAAAATCAGTTTTTGGCTATTTTTTTGTTATTTTTTGGACCTGTCTTCTGTTATTAATTTATCCTATAGGAATACTAATTTGTGACATTTTTCTGTACTGAATGCTTCATTCACATGCTAAACTATTAAGTTAAAAGCAAAACATCCAGCAATTGAGAGATAGAGGTAAAGAAATCTGCTTTACAAAACAGTCGGAAAAAATGTCCCGAGCGAATGTGGTTGAAACTGCATAAAAAAACAACGGAAAACAATTTTTGAGTAAAACCAAAAGCATTTCACAGCGACATGTTTGAACAACATTCTAAAAAAATCGCATTCAAGTATTCCATCAGAATTCGCTAATTTCTGGTGTTGTATGAACTTCCCCGAAATCCACTTCTATTTTTGTCCCGAGCGAATACGACAGTTTTTTACCGATATCTTAAAAACTAAAAGTGGTACAAAATCAAGATTTTTACCAAAAATATAGCTTGGATAGAGTGAAAAGAAAAGCCCATAATTAAAATTAAAATCCATTGTTTTACAATTTTTTTTCAACTTTAAAGGTGTGCAAATGTCCCGAGCGACATTTTGGAAGTGCCCATATATCAACAAATTATAAGCTAACGAAGAACAAGAAAAAACTGTTTACTGCCACACAATCCTTGTCAATTTTGCTCATCGAACTTTTATACACCACTTGTACTTGTATTATCCGTTCGAATGTTGCAAATATTAAACGAAAAACCAAACCCAGATGATGGTACATTAATCATTAAATGCTAAACCCAAATGATTTGAAAAGCTGTTATCCATTGGCGTTGCCAGATCGCTGGGAAATTCAGCCACCAAACAGTGTTGGGAAAGGTAAGATAAAAGTTGGAGTGTACCTAGGGTACACTACATTCTTTTGTTCAAAATGGGGAAAACAAATTGAATTTTATTGTTCCAATCAAACCTAAATTCCAAATTTATGTCTTTTCACTGCAGGAGCTACTTCACTTTTACCTTTTTAAGTGTATGTTGAAGTATATAAACAGTTTTTGTTATATTTTGCTTCTAGTAAATTACAAGTTTTGATACTCGTTAGCATTTATTTCAAAAAAACTCATGTTATTTTTAAAAATAACCCAAAAGTGTACCTCTTTTGGGTACAAAATAGGTACCCTGCAGCGCTGCTCAACACTGTTTTCGGTTGAGTTATCGATAGGCGTTCGGCTATTTAACAGAATTTATTAATCGTTGAAGTGCGCTCGAAAATAAATGAAATATCAATAGAATTTATGTTGACACATTTTGTTAAAATATTTAAGGTATTTTTAAAAAGTAAAATTGGCCTAAAAAGTGAGTCTTATCGATGGCACAGCTGATGCCATCGATAGGTTGGGACAAATCACGTATTCCGATATCGAAGAAGAAGAGACTCCGATAGGCTTGGATATCGATAATCGCTGCGAAGGAGTGCAATAAATATGAATTAAATGGTAAATATTAAAAACGGCGACAGGTGTTGTTTTCGTGGTCAATTGGCCCCAAAATTGTTGTTGTTGCCGCTGTTGCAGTTGTGTTTGTGTGTGTGCGAGCGTGTGTTGTTGTGCGGCTGATACACATAGGTGCGTGCGTGTGTGTGTGTATGTTGTGTTGTGCGATTCCCCCACCGAACCAAAAAAAAAAGAAAGAAAAGGAGCTGCAAAAAAAAACACGGCAAATCTATTGATTTTTAACAATACGCACATGGATAGACACACATAACGGTAAACGGAGAGTTTGGTGCTTTTTTTTCCCACGCCTCCGAAAGTGTGTGTGTTGCAACAATCGGCGGACAACAAAGGGGGAAGCACCACCCACCAAGCCCCCCGCCACCCTTTGCTTGCACCATCATCCCACCCACAGCGCACATCCTCACACATCCTTCATATCCTTCAGCGTGCTTATGTGTGGGTGGTTGTTGTGTCTGGCTGCAGCTTCCTGCGTTTGTTTTGCCTGCGCGAAACGAGGACTTTTGGAGGCCAAGTTTACGTGTGCGCAATCAAAGGACCACGGACAAGGGAACCCACAAATTCAGATTCAGGAACTGGAACTCCAGGACCATTAAAAACATCTAAATACCGCTATAAAGCCTTATAGGGTATAGGATATCTATGAAAATTGATTGGGAACACCTAACTAACTCGGAAATCCAGAAAATCATTAAATGGAACCCATAAACCTTTGACAAGGAACCCAGAAATTCAGGAACTGGAACTCCATAACCATTATAAATACCTGAATAAAGCATTATAGGGTATAGGATATCTATAAAAATTGATTGGGAACACCTAACTAACACAGGAACCAATATACCATGGCTTAATTGACAGTAATCAATTGGAAATCTCGATATATCCCTATAAATGGCCCAGAAATGGAACTCCAGGTCCAATATAAATACCTAAATACCCCTATAGAGCTTTATAGCGTATAGGATATATATAAAAAATTGATTGAAAATACCTAACTAACTCAGGAAGCCATAAACCATAGCTTAATTGACAGTAATCAATAGGACATCTCGAAATATGCCTATAAATGGTATAGTGCCGATAAAGTCATTGGGTATTTGATATATTTAAAGTTATTGGGAAAGCCCAAAGAAGTTGAACAGGGACAGAAAAGTCCCTTTAACAGAGGGAATTCAATTATAAAATAATTCTTAAATAATAATGATATAAATAATAATATAATAATAATATAATTTAATCTTTCAAGATTATTATATTGTATAGTAGAAATTCTAGAACTCAAATACCACCATATGCTACTAAAAAAATCCTTCCTTCGAATTAGAAAATTCAGAATTATTTATCTGTATTCCCCAGCACTCTTATAATCACCTTAACTAGGCGAACCCAACCCCATAACTAAAATGCCCCTTTACAGCACTACGTCATCGACAGCGGCCACCTGTCCCTGACTTTTTGCTAAGCTCCGCTGCAGTGTGCAGTGATTCATGTGATTCATGGCCTTAGATCATCCACTAATCGTCCAATTCTCCTTCTCCTCTAGGCAGTGGCCCCCAGTGAGGCAGCAATCGCAGCAGCAGCAGCAGCGCATGCAGCAGCAGCAGCAACAGCAGCACCAGCAGAACAGTAGTAGTCATCATCCCCGGAGATCCCCAGTTGTCCACTTGAACTCCAGCCATGAACTTGTCCAATTCCTGCAGCGACAGCAGCAACGAGTCCATGGTCAATCCGATGCAACAGCAGCAGCAGCAGGAGCGATATGTGTGGGAGATGCGCACCCGTAGTCCAAATGTAACGCCAGCCAGCACGGTGCTAAATTCGCCGGATCTCAATGCCGAGCTGTCCTACGTTCCGCTGCAGGGTTTGTCACCAACGAGCGGAGGGGGAGGAAACGGAGGAGGAGGTACTGGTGGTCAGGGTGCGGCCCGAGATTCCAGCAACTATTACTATCAGCGACCGCACTTGCATCAGATTCGGCTGGGCAGAAGTCCGGGCAGCCAATTCGAGACGCGGGATGTTCTGCCACAGGTAAGCAAAGCATTTCAAACTAAAGAAGCATCCCCTAATCATCATCTTTCCTTCCCAAAAAGGGTCTGGCCAGTCCCGGCTCGCCGACGGATGTGGGCAAAGCGGATGGCCAGTGTCTGCGGGATGGTGAGATCGTGGTCTTCGACGACATCGACACCAACTGGATGAACAAGCCATCGAGTGGTGGCCACCGAACGCCGGGCAGCAACGAGGATGTTCTGAAAGTGACCAAGATGATTGGCCAGCTGCCCATTGCCGAGTACGAGGGATCACCGCGACGATTTGGTAGTCAAACGAATGCAGGAGGAGCACCGCCACCGCGAAAACGTCCGCCGGGCTTCCCGCAAAGGGTTTCGCCCACAACCAGTGGCGTGAATAATGCGACTGCCTCGGCCAAAGCATCGGTGGGCAACCTAATCGATCTGATCGACCACGAGGAGGAGAAGACGCCCACTTTCGATTACCTGTACGAGTTCTCAGAGACGCGAAAGGTGCTGGAGGAGTTCTTCAAGGCGAATCCGGAGGACTACGCCGCGGAAAGTGGCGACGATATAGCCAGTTCGGTGAATATCTTTATTAAATAATTGTATTTTATTTTTATATGACGAAGCGCACCAGGAGAGTGTGCGAAGGCGACTACTATATATACACGAAGAAATGAAAATCTACTGTGATGGTCCGATCATTATGAATGATACACCTATCGAAAGGTATTGCAAAAACTAACAGGATTGCATACCAAGACTCTAAGAAAATCAATTTGCTTGGGAGAGAGAGCGGTGAAAGTGAAAAAGTGAAAATTTCGATATTTGGAGCTGTTGGGGCCGGTGGGGATAATTGCCCCCTCGCAATATTTTACTTGTATTCCTTTTGAAAATACCCGTCGAATGAGGGGTCGTTTGTCAAAATCCGACGCTCCGTTCAAAAGTTATAGCCAAAATAAGATTTTCTTCGTCTTCCCAAAATGAAAATTTAATTCTGTTTGTCAGTTTGTCAGTTTGTCAGTTTGTCAGTTTGTCAGTTTGTCCAAAACATGTTTTTTAAGTTCTGAAAATTTGATATGACGTTCATCACATCGATATAAAAAACTTTTGTTCTACCACTTTTGGAAAAACTCGCTAGTTTAGCGGGAAAACAGCTATAAATAGCTAAAATTCGGAAAGCCGTAACTTCTATACTACTAAAGCTACAGACTTGTGCTGCATCTCGTTTGAAAGGTATTTTGAAATGCTATAAACGCCTTCTATATGCAATTTGTGTAAATGTAATAGTTAAAAAAATATGAACAAAAGACAATTTTTTAAAACTTTTTTTTTAGCTTTTTTTATTTTTCTCAAAAACGGCTCTAACGATTTTCTTTAAAACCTTAAACTGTATAGCCCTTGAGATTCCTTAAATTTTGGTATATAACACATTACTGTAAAAAGTCACGTTTAATAGTTATTTTTATACGAAAATAGCCACTGTTGCCAGCTCGAACAATTAACGCTCCCTGAGTATTGAATTTTGTGGGAGGGTATCCGAACTGTATTTTAGGGTCATGGAATCAGTAAATTTGCACTTAAGAGTTCCATATAGGAATCTTTTGTTCTACGACTTTTGGAAAAAGCCGCTACTTTAGCGGGAAAAAGCTAAAAATAGCTAAATTTCGTTAGTTTGTAAGTTCTACACTACTAAAGGTACAGACATGTGCTATACCTCGTTTAAAAGGTATTTTGAAATACTTCAACGCCTTTTTAACTTAATTTGTTAAAATACAATAGTTTAAAAATTATGATTGACCAATTTAAATTTAAATGTATATATTAGCTCCTATGAGAGCAAATGTAAACAAACAAAAACTTCTGATATCAAATAAAAACACCTCTTAACGAGGTAAAAAACTAGTGACGACCGCACCTTCAACATACAAAAGTTCTGATATCAACATTTGTGACGAAAAATTATTACACTCGTCATTAAATAGACTTTCTAATATTTTCTCATTCGGCACGCTGCAATAGAAAATGCCTGTGAAGGGAAAAATGCTGGAATAGTTTGCTAGGGCGGGCCGAATGAGAAAATATTAGAAAGTCTATTTAATGACGAGTGTAATAATTTTTCGTCACAAATGTTGATATCAGAACTTTTGTATGTTGAAGGTGCGGTCGTCACTAGTTTTTTACCTCGTTAAGAGGTGTTTTTATTTGATATAAAATAATCTAACGTTTTGCCGTTTTCCGCAGCAGCAACAGGAGTACCCAGCCACGCCCATGGAGCAGGCATATATTGGTCAGCGGCTGGCGCGAATACCCAAAGATGAGCTCTACATGGTGCACCGTTCGCCCATCAAGAAGCCAGTGAGTCAGCACAAGAGTATAACCTTAAAAACTGCTAATTTATGTCCCGTTTTTTAGCCAAATGACCAAAATCCAGCGACGGCCTACCAGGAGCACAATGACATCGAGCTGTATATCGATTCGAATAGTCGCAGCAGCGGCGATCTGGCGGACACCGAGCTGGAGGCAAATTTGCGTAGGCATTCGCGCAACTTTACCCTTTCGCCGGAGACAACGGACTACGATTCGAATTGCGGCGATCTGGATAGTCTGTCCAATGACATCAACTGTCCCACGGATTATGGCAAACTGTATACGAGCATGCCCGTCCTGGAGGATGGCCTGAGCAGTGGTCATGCCTCCGACACCGAGAACAATGTCTCCGTGGTCTGTGACCAAAAGCAGTCGTCTCAGTCGCAATTCCAGCCGGTCCACGAGCACAACGGAAACGGCGAGCGGCTGGAGAACGGAGACTACAATGTGATGAGCGCCAGCATGGCCACGTTGACCACAGATGCCTCGCAATCGGCGCTGATAAGCGACTTTGCCTCGCTGCCTATGCCACCGGCACCAGCTCCAGTTCCGCCCCCTTCATCATCATCGCCGCCCCAAATTGAGATCGCCGATGCCAGTGAATCCATGGCCATGGCCGCAGAGGCTGATAATCCGCTGGACAGTCACTATGGTGCCGTTTATGCAGCCGCTCTAACAGAAAAGTCAACTGCTCTGCCATCACAGGCTGCCTCGGAAATTCAGGAGGCCATGAAGGAGATTCGGTCCGCCTTGCAGCGGGCCAAAACGCAGCCGGAAAAGCTCAAGTTCTGCGACGAGGTGCTGCCCACAGATCCGGATTCCCCCGTTTGGGTGCCGCGCAAGACGACGGCGGTCTCGGTGGCTCAGGCTGCGGCAACGGCGGCGGACGAGGAGCCAGACACGGACCTGGAAACGGATCGACTACTGGGTCAGCAGCGGCACGACGAGCAGGATTTCTTCGCTGATCAGGTGAGGAGAAATAAAATGGGCCCTCGGCCACAATGATACTTTTTAAAAGGGGGTAAATACACTCGTTATAGTGTCATAAGGCCCACAAATAAACCTATTTGATTGAAAACTGTCTAAAAATACAATCTCTTTTAAAAGGGCGTAATGACACTCGTTATGGTGTCATAAGGCCCACAAATAAACCTATTCGTTTGAAAACTGTCTAATCATACGATCTCTTTTAAGAGGGCGTAATGGCACTCGCAATGGTGTCATAAGGGCCACAAATAAACCTTTTTAATACAATCTTTTTTTTAAGGGCGTAATGACACTCGTAATAGTGTCATAAGGCCCACAAATAAACCTATTCGATTGCAAACTGTCTAATTATACAATCTCTTTTAGCAACTGGCGGATAGCAATGCTAACGAGGGAACAGAGATAGCCAGCAATGGACATCTGAATGGCATGGCCGTCGATAACAACAATCCGAATCCGAATCCAATGGGCAATGCCAAGCCGCAGACTTACTCGACGGCCACCATTCGTCAGGGCATCGGCACCTCGCTGACGCCCAATTCGCCGGACATCTGCCAGATTGTTGGCACGGCGGACATCTCGATTAGTTCGCCGGAGAAGCTGCAGTTTAGCAAGAGTCCCACGGGCTCCATCAAGTCGCTGAAGGATTCGGCCAACTCGGACAAGAAGGCCAAGTCGCGCAACAAGGAGGGTAAGTGAGAAAATGCGGGGATTTTAAATGGTTCGTATTTTTTACTGATATCGAAAACCATTCGACAATTCCACGCTGCAATCTGTACGCATTAAATGTGATGATATCATGTAAGTCGCAGATTTTTCCGGACACTTTTTCTTTTTATTATAAGAAATTAAATCCCCGTAGAGACATTCCTTAAATAATAATAATATTCTCGTATTTAGGTCTTTTGGAACCCAAAGTTCTTATCGAGGGCGTGCTCTTTCGGGCCCGGTATCTCGGTTCGACTCAGCTTGTTTGCGAGGGCCAGCCGACCAAGTCGACCAGGATGATGCAGGCCGAGGAGGCCGTCTCCAGGATCAAGGTGAGTAGTGTTAAGCCCCCCCACCCCGGTGGTGAACTAACATGGAAGCACAATCATCCAAGAAACCCCGCTAGGCTATGTGTTTTGTGTGTCTAAAAACTTTCTCGTTCGCTTTTCTCGTTCCCTGCTGCGCATTCCTCTCTCGATAGGCTTTGGTAAGCGATCGTTTGCGATCCCCCTCTGTATTAGAGCTTGAAAGTGATCGATAATTTCGATATATTCTAAAAATTGATTCGATAATAGTCGATATTATCGATAACACATATTAAATATCGAGAAATAGCAAACTGTCGATATTTTTCAAGCTCTATTCTATATAGTTGAACAACAGACAACAAACTTCCCTCTAAATATTTCCTTTCATTATAAAATATCTACTTAATATTTTTACCAGGCTCCCGAGGGCGAAAGCCAGCCGAGCACCGAAGTGGACCTGTTCATATCAACCGAGAAAATAATGGTGCTGAACACCGATCTCAAGGAGATCATGATGGACCATGCCCTACGCACTATATCCTATATAGCGGACATTGGCGATCTGGTTGTGCTGATGGCTCGTCGCCGATTCGTTCCGAATAGTGTGGTGGATCCAGCGACGGCCAGTCCCCTGGGCGATCCCCTTCCCAGTGCAGCGGCGGCGGGAATGGGTGAATCGGATGAGTCGCCGCCCAAGGAACAGGCCCTAAGCAAACATAATCGCACGCCCAAGATGATATGTCACGTTTTCGAGAGCGACGAGGCACAGTTCATAGCCCAGTCCATTGGACAGGCCTTTCAGGTGGCCTACATGGAGTTCCTCAAGGCGAACGGCATCGAGAACGAGAGTCTGGCCAAGGAGATGGACTACCAGGAGGTGCTCAACAGTCAGGAGATCTTCGGCGACGAGCTGGAGATCTTCGCCAAGAAGGAGCTGCAAAAGGAGGTGGTGGTGCCCAAGGCCAAGGGCGAAATCCTGGGCGTTGTGATCGTCGAGAGCGGCTGGGGCTCCATGCTGCCCACCGTGGTGATTGCCAATCTGATGAGTTCCGGTGCGGCTGCCCGCTGCGGTCAGCTGAACATCGGTGACCAGCTGATAGCCATCAATGGCATGAGCCTCGTCGGATTGCCGCTGTCCACCTGCCAGAGCTACATACGCAATGCCAAGAATCAAACTGCCGTCAAGTTCACCGTCGTGCCCTGTCCTCCGGTCGTCGAGGTCAAGATCCTGCGACCCAAGGCGCTCTTTCAGTTGGGTTTTAGTGTTCAAAATGGCGTGGTGAGTATAGAGCATAGCATAGTAAAACCTTTTCGATATTTAATGCTGTTTATAATGCAGATCTGTAGCCTTTTGCGTGGCGGCATTGCCGAGCGGGGCGGAGTACGCGTTGGCCATCGCATCATTGAGATTAACAACCAGAGCGTAGTGGCCGTTCCGCACGATACCATTGTCAAGCTGTTGTCATCCTCAGTGGGCGAGGTATAGTAGAATCATTTTAAAACGGAACTATCAGACTCATACTTATTTTGCAAACACAGATCCTCATGAAGACAATGCCCACGTCCATGTTTCGTTTGCTCACCGGCCAGGAGACGCCTATCTATATATAAACCTATATAAATATGCAACTGTTCACACGCCTGCGCTGGAATCGAAAAACTATAAATTCGTCAACTGCAACTCGATCAGCTTTAAGTTCCATCAACTGAAAACGAATCGATAGCTAATCGATTCGAATATAGACCAATTATTGGAATTCGATCAGCCTTAAGTTGATAAATTGTACACTTTACATTTTCCAAAAATGTTTCTTAAATGATTCGACAATTTGTAAATCGATTGAGCCTTAAATGAGATTAGTTCTTTATCGACAAATCGTTCAACTGCCCAGAATTGATATACTGCTATGGAGATTATTAACAGAGCTTCAAAAGAATATTCATGTTTTTCGCTATTCGGCCCATCTTTGTATATGAAAAAGACTGAATTTAAAGCCAGTGCGAGTGTATGTGAGCAGTCATTGTAAAGTATTCAAAAAAATTGTAAGCCCAAATGTCCCAAAAATATATATACCCCTTATATGTATACCTTTCCCATTATTCCCTCGCATCCACAACCAGTAGGCTATAAGCATTCGATTGAATTTACTTGCAAGCAATTATTTATGATATGATCTAATCCATTATTTGTCATGTAAATTAACCGTACTTTAGTTCTTTAACTACATTTATAATTTTCGATAAAGAGAAACAAAAAGCAAGACACTTACCTTATGCCAAAAAAGAGTTAGATTTCGTTACATTTATTATTGTATAGATTGTATTATCCATTGCGGATAAGCTGGATTATTGCAATACCATTACCGATATTTATAATTAAAGATGAATAGCCTTAGAAAAACGAAGCCATGCCTGCAAAACAACAAACAAAATAAATGCATTTAAAACGCGTCAGATTAAAGCAAAAACATATTGATTCTAATTGTATAATGTAATGTCTGTACAAGAAAAATCTGCACATTTCTCGATCGATTATTGCCATATACCTAACGATATATACTCGTACGATAAATATGATAAATCTAAAGCGAAAACAATAAGCAAAACAGCAAAAGTAATACGAAGAACAATAATTTCAGCATTGTCTAGTTTCTGTTAAGCGAGAGGGCATACATTTATAAGAAAGAGACGGAGCCACACAAAAGAAAGAGACGGAGCCACATAAAAGACAGAGACGGCGCCACAACAAGAGAAAGAGAGAGGGAGAGAGCTTATTTTTGCATACTTTAAAAAGCGACAAACAAAAGGCAAATAAACCACAAAAAGCAAATAATTGAAACCAATATGTATACATATGTTATTAATCTAAATGGAAACGACTAAACTAAAAGAATATTTTAAATATTTCAAGTGCAGGTAACAACAAAAGACGCAAGTTAATAATATTTATATAAATATATATATATATATATAATACTTTCGATCGCCATTCGGAAGCGCAGGTGCAATATTTTTGCAAAACACACAAGAAACACACACAGCCACAACAATTAATTAATAAATTTCTAAGCTACTCGGGACACGGCAACAACAACAACAAAAACACTAAGGAACCCACTAAAGAACAAGAACTCTCTGCTACTGCGCCTCTAACTAACTTCTAAAACCAAACACTAATCGTATACTACCTAATGCAATTTATTTATTAATACTTAACACGTGACCGAATACAAACAACAGCGAGAAACAAAAATAAACTACATTTATACACAAAAACAGAATCGATTTTGGTTGGGTTTATATATGTAGCTGTTGGAAAACTAAGTAAAAGTAAGTATCATATTTTCAAAAACAAGAAATAATTTATTTTTATGACTTTTACTAAATATTCCTTGAACTTTTATCCAATTTCATAGGTAAATTGGGTTTTATTTTTTTGCTTGGAAAGTATAGCTTATAAATGAAGTAAGTAAGTGATGATAATTAGTTGTAATTTATAATTAGCCGTAGTTATACTATTGGAAATTTTTAAAAAATATATCGACATTATTTATAGACTTGGGAACTAAAAAAAAATTACCGACTTTATTTTTAGTGACTATCACTAAAAATTCCTATTTTTAATCGCTTCCATGGGAGCATCGTTGTTTTTACGGGTTTGTTTTCGTTTAAGCGCGCGCATAAAACTTTAATTGATTGCAGGGCGTGGTGGGTGGATGGGTGGTGGGTTCAGGGGTCACATTTTCGCCATTCTTGTAGCTGCAGCCAAACGAATTTTATTTATACGCGCGACCCATGTGAAATGTAAATGCAAAAAAGTATCGCCCCATTTTGCTGCTAGCAACTTTTGATTTACGGCGGAGCACTCACAATTTCATGGGGAAACAAAACTCAATTTGTTGGGCTCTGTTTCCGGCTCGGGGCACAAAAAACTGTTGCTCCAATTACGCAGAAATTGCATTGGATGCAATGGCACACAGAGAGAAAATTCATATTTTATATATTTTTTTTTTTTTTTAAAGAGAAACCAATTTTTTTTTTTAAATACGGGTTTAAAAAAAGTTTTTCTAACCATAGTTGTCTATATATAATTTTTCGTCAACATTTCAGGAAATTTCTTTCTTTCAGTGCACAAGCCATTTCACTGCACATGTGTCCCAGAAAAAACTTGCAAAATGATACGAAAATGATATTTTTCCAACTCCTTTGCGAAAAAGGGATTGTAATTATTTGGCCCAAGGGAATGCAGAATAAAGGCGGAATATTTATTTATGATGCACGTAAATATCCATGTTTATATGTTCGTAATCGAATTAAGAGGACATCGTCGGGATTGCGGTTGTGAAATGGAGGTATGTCCATCTTCTGCATTTTTCCGCAACGAAATCGCATGTAAATATTTATTAATTGAAATCAAGCAAACCAACAAGCGTCGTAAATTACAAGAACTCAACGAAATAAATGGAATAAATCGTCCGGGAATGTTGCGACCACGAGAAACTCTTTAATTAAATGTATTTCAATTATAAAATGGGTAAATAGTATATATTTGTAAATACTAAAATATTTGCAACCAATTTTTTTTTTCAAAAAAGTACTATTTAATTTGTATACATTTAACATAAAAAGTTTTACTGTACTTCTGTTTTTTACCTGCTGCCTTCCTTTACTTACTATCCTGTCACCGAAAATAATAAAACGTACAATATTTGCATGGACAGGGGATAAAATGCATTCAAATGACCCTGCAGCTGTCATATATCATGCCGCACTAGATGTGGAATGCGGATCCTTTGACCAGCCAGGACTCGAACTCGGACTGCCGTGTCCTTCCAGTCCCCTCCCCTTTCCTCCCCAATCCGCATCCAATTCGCGGTCGACGGTCGCTCTTTGTGTGGTTTGCCTTTTGGCTCTTTATTGCCATTGTTGGCTTTATTGTCCCTGGAAATTAAGTGACAAGAGAACCAGAGTCCTGTCGCTCTGGCTCTGCATTTTCGCCCTTTTCTCGATGTGCAAACACCAAGCGGTACAGTGAGCACTGGCCCGAAGGGAAATAAGGAAAGAATTCGATAATATATTGGGTCAAATTAAACTAATTTTATAGCAATAAAATGCCGCTATGATTAATGCCAAATTTGTAATTCAAACATATCAATTTGATATTTTATCATATTATTTATTTAATAAAAATACTAAAAAAATAATAAAAACAGTCTTTATTCATTTCAAATTGATATGGGCACTTCCAAAAAAAAGTCCACCAAGCCAAAAACCTTGAAACTTGAATAAAACATATTTCCACATGATTTTGCCCCGATATTAGTTTCTAATTAGTTGGATACTGAGCTTAACTACAAATTTGGAGTATAGTTTGATTATTTTTATGACAAACCCCACCAATATACGCAAAAATCAGTTTTTGGCTATTTTTTGTTATTTTTTGGACCTGTCTTCTGTTGTTAATTTATCCTATAGGAATGCTAATATGTGACATTTTTCTGTACTGAATGCTTCATTCACATGCTAAACTATAAAGTTAAAAGCAAAACATCCAGCAATTGAGAGATAGAGGTAAAGAAATCCGCTTTACAAAACAATCGGAAAAAATGTCCCGAGCGACATGTCCCGAGCGAATGTGGTTGAAACTGCATAAAAAAAAAACGTCAAAGAATTTTTGAGTGAAACCAAAAGCATTTCACAGCGACATGTTTGAACAACATTCTAAAAAAAATCGCATTCAAATATTCCATCAGAATTTGCTAATTTCTGGTGTTGTATGAACTTCCCCGAAATCCACTTCTATTTTTGTCCCGAGCGAATTCGGCAGTTTTTTACCGATATCTTAAAAACTAAAAGTGGTACAAAATTAAGATTTTTACCAAAAATAGAGCTTGGGAAGAGTGAAAAGAAAAGCCCATAATTAAAATTAAAATCCATTGTTTTACAACTTTTTTTCAACTTTAAAGGTGTGCAAATGTCCCGAGCGACATTTTGGAAGTGCCCATATGAATAACTTAATCTTAAAAAAATATAAAATTAACCTGTACATATCAATCTGATCTTTTGTCAATTTTTTTCCTGTGTGTAATTGTATTATATTTCTAACATGATTTTAGGTGTATAAATTAAATAACTAGGTTAATAATTCTACAAGAATTGCAAATATCCTTTTGTATTTAAATCTTTCTCTTCCGTAAAATATTTTTAAAAATATTTCCAATGAATATATATATTATATAATATAAATAAAATGTTTTATTAACGTTTTATTTATCACTATAATTTTCCAATATAACCCAGTGTTCACTGTTTGTCCCTTCATGCATTATGTGAAGCAGTTGTTCGTTTGGCCGTCCATCTGCCACTAAAGTGGAATTTAATATGCGCCTTCCTGTGATTCTGCATCTGTCACGCCCCCTTTCCGAAACTCCCGCCCCCTTTTTCTGGCAGGACAAAGTAACTGCAAACTTAATCAAAATGCGATGCGCACCTTTTATAAAAGATTTTTGTGGTCTATAGCCACAAATTAAATGGCCATCGGCTGTCAGAAGCATAAAACAATTAACAAATTTGGCCAGAAAACTGTCAAAACTTTAAAATGTTCAAGAGTCTTAAAATGCTGCTTGTGAATAAATCATAATAATAACTTAAATGTCACTTTGGCGCACTCAGAAATCCTGGGCCTTATTAAATCAAAATTATTCACATTAAACTTAGACAAGAGAATATACACATTGCAATTTTGTATTTCCCTGCGCCATAAAGAAACTATGAATAATTTTATAAATTCGCCCAAGGAGTTCCGTCTTTTTCTTCTTCAAGGGAACCTTGCAAATTCATCTCCTAAAACTTTGTTTGTTCGGGGCTAAAGGAAAAGTTTTTCGCACATGTTGCGGTGATAAAAAGATGGGGGGCGAAGACTTTTAGGGGTTAGACCTGAGTTAAAGTTGAATATTTGAACTTGCATATAATGTGTTAAATAAGTTGTCTTTTGCGCCGTGTCGCACGTGGCGTATACTTCATATTTCCCAACTGAATCGCAGTCGCTGTCGCTCCGCCTGTCAGCCTGTTTTGTTGTTGCTTTGTGTGGGTGGTTGGGTGGTTCAGTGGGTGGGTGTTGAAAATTGCGAGGTGGTTTTTAGTATTCGACATGACCTTGCGTTGCTTGCCCCCACCAAGGTTGATGGAGGTTTTTGCCACTCGAAACGCAGCGAAAAACGAAACAAAACAAAACAATTAATGCAACTGGGTGGCTTTCGTGCCTCATTTGCATGCAATTGCAATACCGGGGGCAACTGCATCGTTTTGTGTTTTTCGCCCCGGAAAAGCCCCCAATTAGCCCGGCTTAATCAACAGCCAAATGCATTTTCTGCTTTCCACATCTCACTCTCTTTATTTTTATTTTTTATTTTTTTTTTTATTTTGGCCTAGAACATAAGTCAAAAATGTTTCTTTTTCTAAAAGGGGCAGGGAAAAATGGTTTCGCATTCGGTTTACGAGCAATCACAGACACTTTTCACGGCTGCTAGCCTTTTGCCAGGAAACTGTCAAATGGCCCTTTTCGTGTCCCCTTTTACGGTCCGCAATAATGCCAAAAAGTGTGTGCTACCAGAAATTTGATTTGTACTTACGCACATGCAAGTACAGTGAATATTGCCAGGGCACAGACAAAAATATAAGAACTTTTTATGCGGTACTATTCGAATTACCTTTTTCTTACTTTAATTTTCCCTTAAATAAATTGAAAATTTTTTAGAAGAAAAAAAATTTTTTATTTTTTTTTACTTAAAGTAAGTAGGAGCATTTTTTACAAAAAAAAAAGTATGAGTCGTTTTAAAATCATTAAATGTTTTTTTCTAATTTTTATAGGATTTAAAAAATATAAACGTTTCAATTTGTGGTTTGACTTATAAAACAAATTCAACACCCAACATTTTTTTATCTTGGGTATTTTTCTACATTAAATTAAATTGTAGCATTTTCTTTTTTTGTATTCATTGAACATATGATATTATATTTGTAAAAAAAAAACTATATAGAGCTCCCGCTGAACTAAAAACAAGTTTGAAGTGTGGACAGTAAACTTTTTCTGGTACAAAGAACATTTTTGCGAACTCAAGGACTGCACACTTTTTAGTTTTTACTGTTATTGCACGCACAAGCAATTGAAAAACCAGATTCGGGCCGAATTATGGAGAATTTTGCGCAACCGTTTGTGGCCAAGTCGTTTGCCATTTCCGTTTCCGTTTATGATTACCAGACGACGATGG